AGTTAACGCTCTTCCACTCTGAAATCTATGGTCATTCTATTGTATTGTGATGGTGAGGCTGGTGATGTTTCAGCAACTTAGTCCTGCAACTGTGCTTGTAATTCATTCTCAGGAAACTCTCAAGTATTGTGTCGTAGTTGAGCATTAGTAAAATTATTCTTCTCTTCAGTTTGTTCCATAAATTTGGATCATTACACTGTAATTCTCATTCTCATTAAATTCTACTATTCCAGTCAGCTAATAGCTCTTAATTAATTTATTTTCATGTCTTATAGATCCAGATTAGTTAGATTTTAGTGACATATTCTCATTAAATAATGTAATTACCATTGGATTATCACAATCTTTCGGGAGAAATTCAAAAATAGCCAGATTACCACTGGTCGTTGAAAAATAGCCAAGTTTCAAAAGTCATCGAAATTTAGCCACTTTAAATCTGAGCGAAAACACTGTTCAAAATCCGGAAAAATACGCCCGCAAATTTTACGGGAGTTCCAGCATAAGTATGCTTGAACTCCCGTAAATTTTACGGGAGTTCCAGGATAACTATGCTGGAACTCCCGCAAATTTTACGGGAGTTCAAGCATAATTATGCTGGAACTCCCGCAAATTTTATGGGAGTTCCAGGAAGTATAATTGTCCAGTATAATATACTGGAGTTTGGAGCACTGATGCTCCAGTCTCCCGCAAATTTTACAGGAGTTGCCAAAGTATACCGGTCCAGCATAATATGCTGGAGTTCGTACACAAATGCACCAGAACTCCCGTATATTATACTTGACCAGTCCCTGTTGCAGCAAAATAGTGACTATTTTTCATTGACTTGATAAACGCTGGCTATTTTTCATTGACCAGTGTGAAAACTGGCTATACCATGATATTTTAACCAATCTTTCCCTCATTTTCCCTTAACAACCTTTGCTCCTGCATTTATATATTTTTACCATGGCAAGGCAATTAACAGCGTTCTCTCTAAAGCACAAGCATAATTAATCAAAGTATAAATGGCGAACGTTTCAGTCTACTATTGTCTCCTCCTTAGCATCACATATCTGTCTGGTTTGTGGGCATTAAGGCTTTCCCTTTTTATTTTTAACTCATTTTCGGTTTACATTTATCTATTTTATTAACGAAAAAAAGCCAAAGTTGTCCCTAAACTATTTCATTTGGTTTAAAAATGTTCTTCGGCCACCTATTTTGCTTAAACGGCCCCACCGTTAGAAATCTGGCACATCCATGCCCTTATTTCTGACGGGCCTTTACTGAATAAAAGAATATTTATTATATATGATGTGACAATTTCTTATTGGTCAAAATTAAATTCCCACCCCAAGCAAGATATGGTCCGTAAATAACCCACCCACGCTCCACCTTAACTACTCCGACCCGTTAAACCCCTTTTTTTACCCACCCATAATTCATGAATGCTTCAAACAAACATTTTAATACATAAAAGATTTGCAGATTCTTTTGCTTCTTGAATTGAATTTTTATTAACTGGTTTTAACAATTGACATTATTTTTTTGTTGTAGACCACAACCCGGGGATTGCCCAAGATATGCAATGTGCTGCTCGAATTAACAATGTAAAATGTTATGTGAACGATGATTGTATGCCTAGCTGCAAGGAGAAATATGGAGATAAACTATCTGGTGCAGCTTGTATAATGATACCGAATGAGCCTACTCTTGTTTGTGCTTGCACATACTATTGTTAAAGGTCTATTTGGGATGACAATGCTTATTATTTCTCTTTAAATTTCATCTAAATGTTAAGACTTAAGACTTATCATTTGTTTGACCGAGTTATAATTAAGGTTTATGTCCTATGGTCAAAATGAGTTCATTATTTACAGTGGGTCATGCTATTGTCCTATTCTTACTCAAGATTGTATGGGATGCTCTTTCCAAAGAAAAAAAAATTTACTCACACTTGTATATGTATTAAGATTTAAGAGTAGGGTTGGTTTTCTAGGGGAACGGGGAGATCGACGAGGGTGTCACGCACCGTATAGGGACATGATGGATGAAATGGAGGTTGGCATATGGCATCTTCTGTGACAATAAAGTTTCATCGAAACTTACAGGTAAGTTCTATAGAGCGGTGGTTAGACCGGCCATGTTGTATGGGGTAGAGTCTCGGCCAGTCAAGAATTCCCATGTACAGAAGATGAATGTAACAGAAATGAGGATGTTGAGATGGATGCGTGGCACACTAGGTTGGATAAGATTATGAATGAAGATATTCGGGGGAAGGTGGGCGTAGCTCCCCTGGAAGATAAAATACGAGAAGCGAGGATCAGATGGTTCGGGCACGTGCAGAGAAGAAACCTAGATGCCTCGCTGAGGAGGTACGAGCGGTTGGCCTTGGCGGGCATGAGGAGAGGTAGAGGGCGGCCTAAAAAAGTATTGGGGAGAGGTGATCAGGCAGGACATGGCGCGACTCCAGCTCACTGAGGACATGGCCCTTGATAGGAAGGTGTGGATGTCGAGCATTAGGGTTGTAGGTTAGAAGGTAGTTGAGCGTTTTCCTACTCCGTACGGGGTAGTAGGCTAGTCTGTTAGTGTCTTGTTTTCGTATGCTAGTGATACGTGTTGTGTTCTTATTATTTTCCTCTCCGCTTTCCTAGTACCTTGCCGTTGTTATTGATTACTGATATTGTTTTTTCCATTTATTTTTCTGATACTATCTTTATGGCTGCTGTTGATGTAACTGTTCTATTGTCTTTTTTCATCTTCTTGTGCTGAGAGTCTATCGGGAACACCCTCTCTACACCACATGTTAGAGGTAAGGTCTACGTACACACTACCCTTCCCATACCCCACTTGTGGGATCATACTGGATTGTTGTTGTTGATATATGGATTAAAATAGTAAGTGTATGATATATGTATTTTATATCAAATTTATCATTGATCATATAATACTTAATGTTATCACAATTTATCATTTTTCTGTCGTTATTACTTAATGCATAAATTAGACCCCAATTAGATTTTTCCTATAAATCTTATCGGTTAGATATAGTACTTCAGAGCCCGTTTGGCTTAGCTGATTTAGAGTAGCTGATAAACATAGGTGCTGAAAAACACTTTTAAGTGCTGAAGCTGATTTAAAAAATAAGCAGTTACGTGTTTGGATAAAAATGCTGAAATTAATAATAAGCAGCTAAAAAATTGGAAAGAGTTTTGTTTTAAAAAGAAGTATTTTAGGGATAGAATAGTAAATATTTTGGTAAAACTTAAAGTGCTTATAAGCTGAAATTTGATAAGTTGAGGGAGACCAACTTATGGCTTTTGACTTATTTTTGGCTTATAAGCACTTAACTTATAAGCACTTTTAATTTTACCAAACGCGTAGATAAGCCAAAAAATACTTATAAACCATTTTGACCAGCTTATAAACTTAGCCAAACACCCTCTCAGTTTCGACAAGTCAAACTTTTGTCTTCCCTATCCCGCCTTCTGTTACAATTAGCTCTCTACTAATTGTAACTCTCTAACTTAAAAGAGCTACTCAATCTTCTCTTCATTTTAGCTAAATACGAAGGATTATCTTTTGCTAAATTGCTAATAAAAATGTGATATACATTCGGATCTCTCTATAATAACATCCCTAAATAATAGCCATTCACTATAAAAGCCGAGTTTTTCTCGGAATCGAATATTATATTATGTTATAGTATATGTGACGAAGCTAATTTGTATAAGATTTTCTGCTCGTACTCTGTCAAATTCTAGTATAGTTTATGATGTTGTCCCACAGAGATTGGAGAATCTAAGACTTGTAATATTTTGACTACTATTTGAGAGAATCAAATTGATGAAAGGTGTGTTTGCAATTATAAATTAAGACAAATTTCTTCCGAAAGGTTTATATTTAAAAAGAGTTGGGAATCGTTGAATTCACTTGATATATCATTACAATAAAATCTCAGTTTTACGTATTTCTCTAAAGAATAATTGCTTATTGCTAATACAATTATATTTTTACACTAAAAAATAAATAATAACACTCCTTGAGGTTATGTTAATTAATTGATTTAAAACTAGTGACGATTAAAATAAAATATCTTGCCTGAATTGTGCTCAAGCGTAGTAAAAATTTCGTGAGAATATTTTTACTAGAAAGTCAATAATCTTGCCTTCAACAATTTCTCCGTGAGAACTAAAACTGAGGAAAGCAAGATTACAGACTTGAAATAATAATCTTACTAAAAATTACTCTCACTCGAATATTTTATTCATCAGTTATTATATATTAATTCCGCTCCATGAGAATTAAAAAATTAATATAAGAATAACTTAGATATAAAATATATAGATGTGTGTGATGACCCAAAGGGTCATCTTTTATTTTAGAATCCGATTCCGTATTCTGAGGCATTAAAAATCTTATTTAATCTCCCCTCGATTTGCGTGCGCAGTCCGAGCGTGTATCCGGAAAGCCCTTATGTGAAAAATTTAAGAAAAGATAAAATTTTGACTTAAAAAGATGATTTTTGTTGACTTTGGTCAATATTTCGGGTAAACGGACACGGACCCATGTTCCGACGGTACGGGAGGGTCTGTAGTATAATATAGGACTTGGCGTATGCCCGGAATCGAATTCCGAGGTCCCTAACCTGAGAAATGAATTTTTGAAGAAAATTGATAAGACTGAAAATATAATAATTCAAAAAATTTGATCT